GCACTTGTTAGAAATTTGTTTAGTGTTTTGAATGAATACATTTTTGTGCGTAATGTCCTATGTAGGTAGTTAAAGTATTCATTGGGGTGTTTTAATTCCATAGCTACATATAATTTTAATTCCAACCACTAGTGCTATAGTCTTATTCTATACTGAATCGATAACGTCGCATGTGAAACGAAAATGATAGAGGAGTTAAGTTCGTGGGATAACAAAGGGTAATCTATGATTGTAATTTTATTGACTAAGTACAGAATAGATGTAACATGTAATACTTTTTTGTGTTCCATGTTTTGGGGGTCACTTGATCCCTTCCCATTTTTATGTCACATACGACGTTATCGATTGAATATAATAGTAGTTTGAATTAAAACCACGGACAAGGCAGGAATAGTTCAGTGCTTTTTGCTTTTTTGAGTTCTAGGTTTTTGGGGGTTACCTACCCTCTCCTACCATTCCATTTTCGTGTTGTATGCGACGTTATCGAAGCAGCGTAGTACTGGTTTGAATTACAACTAAAGTCTTCTATAAAATTATAAATAAAATATAAAACAAGATATCCTATAATTACAACAAAATATAGAATTCTATCCTTTTACAATACTTCAGAAAGCATTGTACACTATCAAAATAATAAATTATTGTACAATAATAGTTAAATGATTCGTTTAATTAGTTTCAAACAAAATTGTAATTCCATATATCTGAAATATAAAAATGTAAATTTTTTAATTTTTCATATTTTAATCTTTGTGTTCTCAAATCAATTATTAATTATACTATATTATGAAATATAGATAGTGTGACTCGCAATCAGACATACAGTCAACACAATTTATCGGTAAATTAAAAGGACAAATTACGTCCAATGGAAAAAGCGAACCTAACCCCAATGAACAGAGCAAAAAGGAATGAAAAGACTAAAAGATCACCAAAATTTTACTTCTGTGGGTAAATACATACATCAATTAAGTACTTGATCTTCACAATTATATTAAAACTAAGGCTTAAAACAAACGATGCGAGTTAAAAATGAAAAGTAAGGATGCACCAATATCCATTTTTCACGAAACGATCATACTTTATTACAAAGAATATGCAATAAAACATAGATTATGGCCTACGTATATCTACTTTATAATTAATTTAAACTAAGACACATTTTTGCCACGATGTCCTTGAAATATCCCACGGCATCCTACGAGTTTGTCATTTCATTTTAGACTGCCAAAAAAGTTTCTAAACGAATTTTAGATCGTTTAACCTGGACTGTTTGCCTAGTTTTTAGCTTAGCACCGCTTTCCAAAGATTAATTAACTGGTATAAGAACAAAGTGAAGAAGCAATGTAAAGATTAATTTTTAGAAAACTATGCCAATTACTAGGTCTCATATACGTTATCTGCTGTCGGTAACTGAGCAACGAATGATATATTATCATACAATGATACCACACAGTTTTGGTAACCCTTCTTCAGTTCCAAACACAACCTTCAAACACATTAGTATATATTTTCAAATGTTCCAATAGACGTTTCAAACTCATTTTCATTCATTACAAGCATTTGCAATTACGTCTACAATCATTATCATCCTCGTATACGTTCCAAAAATATGCGCTAACAGTTATCTTCAAATGTAGAAATTATAAAACGTATTGCACTGAAAATTACCCTTCTACAAAGTAATTAACATATATAAATGAGAAAAGAGATCTACAGCAATCAGAATCAGAATTGTAGTCATAAAAACTTTAGAAGGGGACTTTTTGCTTTAACCGTCCTGCTCTTTATTCGTATTCTGTACTTTAACCATAGAAAGCGTAGATAGTCGTCGGGAAGCACATCCTTTCATGTTTTGTGTCTTATTTATGAGGCAAATATTAAATGGTGAATGATGTATTAAGTAATACTACGACCCTTTTTCTGCTTCACTGAAAACAATCATATCGTCCGTAGCGATCCATGAATCTCAGTATTTAATTCGTAATTTACGTATAATTCGCATTTTACATAAATCTCTAAAAGCTGATATGTGTTATTAAGAATATGTCTATCTATTCATTGACTTCATTCACGCAAAATGTTACCTTTGACGAACACCGGAATTTGCCTTCGCTGAGTAAAAGGAATACGGAATTTACCGCTTGAGAATGCTTTAATACTATCTAATCTCCCAGCTGGTCTCGCGATATCTTTTATACCTATCATTAGAAGAAGCAGTGAGGTAAAACGACGCGACGGTGCGGCGGTTACCTAAATGATTTTTGCACGGACGAAACTCGGAAGTTGTTGCATCGTTTAAACTCGAAACTTCTCGTCATCTTCGGGTGTAGGTTATTCGATAGCGTCGCAATGAAATTGCGCTCCTCCATTCGCAAAACAAAGTTAGGGAATATTAAACATTACCTTTAAAGTCTTAATCGGTTCCACTAGCGAATACTAATGCAGGGTAAATAATATTACGTCGGTGAAATTCAAATATAAAATGTTATCAGCGGTAATGAATTATTCTTTGTCTATAAACTATTATCCGATAAATTTCTAAACTCAGTTGCCATCGACTGTCAATATTACATTCTTTAATTATCTAATCCACCTAAAAACTATTAATTAGATGATCCATATAGAATTAACAAACAATCTCGTGGACTATTTTTGAACGGGCAACAAATCACTTTAGAATAAAGAAACTGTGAAAATAGCGTTCGAAGAATCTTCTAATTTCAGATCATTGGAAAAGATAATGAATCATTATTTTGATTAACTAAATTTACCATTAATTTAGTCAATAATTCATTAATGGCTTGTTAAAGTACATATAAATAATTTTGGTCATAAAAGAGTTCAAGCTTTATGTAATGAAAACATTTAATATGCTCCACCCTAACGCGTATCCACTGATCGATAATAATTATAGGTATTTCGACTAATCGAGCTCGTGAATAAATAAACGCGATCCTCCCGAACTCTTGCTATTCTTAAGATTATCCCCACGAACCACGCTTGTGTTTCACTCTTGCAAGTGTACAACTCAACCCGCGGGTCTGATTCAAGTTAGCCACACGCCGAGCAAATCAATCACGTCGCACGCACTCGGCACATATGCCGTTAATGTGCACGCGGGACCACCAACTAGCGTCAGGGAGAAGGACCCAAGGATCAGGGTGTGTTTCCGTTTCGAGGATAATTACTCGTCGGTTCTCTGATCTTCCGCGGCTGACTACGATAACAGCTTCCTAAACAGGGAATCGCTTCACTAACGCTAGTCAAGAATGACGAATAGATGTTCGTGAATCAAACAGATTCATTGTAACAGCTACTTCCGTTTTCGCAATCTACTTGGTTTTGGGATTAGGCACCTATAATTAGCTAGGGTTAATTGCTCTTTCGCGTTGATTGGCTTTCAGTTAAATTTCTCGATCATAGACGAGGAAGTATTGCTGTGAAAGCAGAGTAGATTTCATTGAAAAGTTGGATTTATTTAGGAAAGGAGAAGGGGATTATCGATTCTCGACTAAAGTTAGTCGATCAGCCAATTATTAATCAAGTCTTTTGCGAGATTCCATTATACTCTTCACGTTATCAGAGAAATTAATTGCTCAGAATATTAGATTATCGCAAAATCCTCTATATACAGGATGGTTGGTAACTGGTGGTGCAAGCGGAAAGGAGGATTCTTCGCGAAAAAAGAAATCGAAAATATAGAATAAAAATTTTTCGTTTGAGGCTTTGTTTTTGAGAAAATCAACTTTGAATTTGCGCTCGGTACGCATGCACTTTATCACGTCTCGTTATAACGGATCTCACCGTAGATCGTTGTCTCGATGGAAAAATAAAAAAAAAAAAATTTTTTTTATTCTATATTTTCGACTTCTTTTTTCGCGTAAAATCACCCCCTTTCCGTTTATACCACCAGTTACCAACCACCCTGTATATGTATATGACATGCACTATGGAGAATTATACAACATTCTGATGATTGAACGTTGTGATAATGTATGTATGTGATGAACAAATTGCTTCATAACTTGAAAACCAAAACCGACGAAAAGTTATTGAGAATGAAAATCTTGATAATATATTTCACAGTCATTTAAATCGACGAGGTCGCCATTCCCAATAATTAAACTCTTAATAATTATATTTAGTTAATTAATTACAATTGTAGTATCTTTTTCGTTTAATGAGACAAATTATAAAGAATACGAGATAGAAGAGGAAAAAAAGAAGCTAATTTGTGTATTGTATTTCTTTCTATATAATATGATTTTATAAATATAAATTTAATTCCAAATTAAGTTTTGCACAGATTATTTACGTATCCAGCGGCTTTGGTAGGTACTCGCACTGATAAATATCTGCTGATATACAGAGTGGGGAACATAAATCGGAACACCTAAAGCGGAATATCTAAATATCTTCGTTTTTAATGGTTGTATGAAAAAAACTATACAGGACAAAGTTATGCTATATGGAGGAGTACACGCAGTGCTAGATCATGTTTTTTCCGAAAGTTATTTTTTAAATAAGATTTTAAGGTCATCATTATTTTTTTGTAGGACCATATATTTGTTTAATACATTAATCGATCCATCTCGATATTCCCTACAAAGATTTAATTTAACAGCTACTTTAACTCTAATTTGTCAAATTGAAGGTATAGAAGTCAAAGAGAATGTAAATACAAGAATACCATTTCGCGCCTTTCCTTGTCTTCGATATACAGAGGAACCTAGATTATCGGAACTAATAATGATAAATGTGTTTGAATTATAGAACAATAACTTTTTCTGTAATGAGTGTCATATATTTGGAACCATATGATACTAGGAAACAATTAAACGCTACATAAAATCTTACGCGTCCCATACCTTTCTTGTCAATAATTCATATTATATTTCTTAATATATTTTTTAATATATACATCTTAATATATGTAATTCCTTCGAGTTATTTTCATTTTGTAGCTCAAACCATTTAATTGTCAGTGGCATCATAAATTATTCAACTATGTCTTCAAAGCTAAGTTCGTTGTCTATATTTTCCTTTACAAAATCTACAAGAATATCGGTCGTACCTATTTCTTTGTTGATATCACTTTCAAACCAACATATTACAGAGGCTCTGTCACACCCTTCGCATCCTGGTAATCGCTGCAGTAAGTGCAATGTTTCATCTATGTCCCTTTCTCTTATTTCGATGTTTTCCGTACTCTTTTTGCTTTCACGGTTTAAAAGCTTGTTCCACGCGTTTTCCAGTATTACCTTGTCGACCTTTAACCAAGCATCACGCATTATGCGACAACAATCCCTGAACCCTAATTTGTCATGATTTGCTATGACTTCGTCCACTGTACGGTAATCAGATATTGGCATTATTGTTCTCAGAAAATCTTTTCGGTATATTCGCTTGAAACATGCGATTATTCCATGATCCATTGGTTGTATGAGCGGTGTAACGTCAAATGCAAAATACATGATTTTAACTAATTCATCTTTTGTATTTATTAACCCGCTTTCGTGACTCGAGCCAGCGTTATCTAGCAACAACAGAGTTTTCTCTCTGCGTCCGGTTTTCATTTGTTTTTCTGTAATTGATTTTAAGAAACATTCATCGAACCATTCATTGAAAATTTTACTGTCCAGCAAACCGTTGGTGTTAGTTCTGTACATAACTGACAGATCATTTGAATTATAATTTCTGTTACGTCGAGATTTATTACTTCCGCCTATTATTAGTATTGGCAACATGTGACTTCCGGTGACATTTGCACAAAGAAATGCAGTAACCTCTTCTTCCATCTTTTCTTTTTTTTTTATCGTTCTCTCATGATGGAAGATCGAAGTTTCTTCTGGTACTGTTCTCCACGTTATTCCTGTGTTATCGGCATTGTAAACGTTGTCCAATGAGTATCCCTCGTTTAACAGAAGTTTTTCAAAGTTAGATTTGGCGATATCCGCTTCAGCTTTATTTGTGATTCGAAAATGTTCATCGATATCCTTTTTACGGAGACGGTAACGAGTTTTAAATTTTGCCACCCAACGGGCACTGGCTATGAAATCAGATTTTATCTGTAATTTTTCCTTAAGTTCCATAGCTTTTTGGGATATCATTTTTCCTGTCACTCGTGCGTTTTTATCTCTATTTCGTAAATACCACCGGTAAAGAACGTTTTCTAATTGTATATGCTCTGACTTTTTAAAATGTTTTGTAGAACTACTAGCAGCCGCTGAGCTGCCCTCGAAATTTACTCTTATCTGTTTCTTGTTTGATTTTATTTTGCTCACAGTGTTAAGTTTAAGATTGTACCTTTTTGCTATGGATTTGTGAGTCTCACCATTTATTATCAGTTGAAGGATATCATACCTGTCGGCAATTGTCAACAGTGCCCGTTTCTGTTTTGTCGCCATTATTGTGTGGAACGTATTCTAATGTAAATACCGCCCTGAAATGTTGTGACGAGATTTTATATAGTTGTCGATAATTTTGATCGGGGGAAACAGATACTATATGGATTATATACGTATATAACGTATGTATATAGGTATATATACGTATGTAACTTATGTATATAGGTATATACGTATATGAGATACACTATAGAGAATTATACAACATTCTGATGATAGAACGTTCGGATAATGTATGTATGTGATGTATAATGAGGTTATATATTGTATATCAAAATAACATTCGACTAATAAAATAATATTCGACCAAGAGTTGATAGAGTTGATAGAAGCAAGCACCATGAAATTTGTGAATTTATTATGAAAATAATAAAAATAATTTTATTTGCAAATAGTTTACTAATAAATGGTTTTTTGTAACTGAATTTATATTTCTGTCTATTCTATAAACGGTAACATTTTCAAGAATACTAATAATCCATTGTTTCTGCGAATATTGCAAAGCTTCTTTTCATGGTTTTATTTTTGAGTATTTTTACGTAATTTTGTAAGAGCAACAGATGATGATAATGATTATTTTTAATGTTTGTGTGGAAAAGATTACACAGGACAAAGTTATGCTATTTCGAGGAGCACACGCAATGATAGATCATGTTTTTTCCGAAAGTCATTTTTTAAATAAGATTTGAAGGTCATCATCATTTTTTTGTGGGACCATATATTTCTTTAATACATTAATCGGTCCATCTCGATATTCACTATAAAGGTTTAAATTAACAATTACTTTAACTCTAACTTATCAAATTGAAAGTATGAAAGTCAAAGAGAACGTAAATACAAGAATACCATTTCGCGTCTATTCTTGTTTTGCCTATATTGCAGAACCTTGATTATGGGAACTAATAATAATAAATATTCGGATAGTAGGAAAACAGCTTTTCGTATACCCAGTGACATGTATTTAAAAAAAAATGGTACAAACAAACAATTAAACGCTAAATAAAATCTGACCCATCTCATTCCTTACTTGACACTAAAACATATTATATTTCTTAATATATTTAATGTGTATGTCTTAATATAAGTAGTTTCTCCGAGTTATTTTCATTTTGTAGTTCAAATCATCTAGGCCTTTTATGGAGAGCTATCATCAAGTATGTCTTCAAAGCTCTCGTCAGTAAGTTTGTTCGCTTCTGTATCCATAGCTACATTTATAAAATCTATAAGAGTACTGTTGATATCGACTTGTATGTCGGTATCATGTTTCTTATCACTTTCAAACCAGTTCATCACAGCGATACTGTCGCACCCTCTGCATCCTGGTATTTTATTCAGTTTTTTAAGTGCTTTATCTATGTCCTTTTTTATTGTTTCGGGGTCTTCCGAACTCTGTTCGCTTTCATCCTTCAAAAGCTTCTCCCACGCGTTTTTTATTATTGGATTCTTGACATTTGACCCAAGCATTACCTGTCATGCGTCAACAATCCCACATATTTAAGTGGTATTGGTTGACTATCTCTTCTTCCGTTGTATAGTGTTTAGTACATGGAGTTAATGTTTTCAGCAATTCGATTCGGTACATTCGCTTGAAACGTGCGATTATTCCATGACCTATTGGTTGTGTGAGCGGTGCAGCGTCACATGAAAGATACATGATTTTAACTAATTCATCTTTTGTACTTATTATCCCGCTTTCGTGATGAGTGGCAACGTTATCTAGCAACAGCAGAGTTTTCTTTCTGCGCCCGATTTTCTGTTGTCTTTCTGTAATCGATTTTAAGAAACATTCATCGAACCATTCATTGAAAAGTTTACTGTCCATGATAGGTTTGGTGTTTGCTTTGTAATTTTTTTTTTTATATTTTTCCATCGAGATAACGATCTACAGTGAGATCCGTTATAACGAGACGTGATAAAGTGCACGCGTACCGAGCGAAAATTCAAAGTCGATTTTCTCGAAAACAAAGCCTCAAACGAAAAATTTTTATTCTATATTTTCGACTTCTTTTTTCGCGTAGAATCCCTTTCCGCTTGTACCACCAGTTACCAACCACCCTGTATAACAGAAATTGCTATATTGTGAAATGTTAAAAATTGTAAAAGTTATTTATAGAAATTGGAGATAAACAGTAAGTTAAGAAATGTACATATTGAATTTCACAGTCTTGTGATCTGAATCCTATTGAAAAACCAGAGAGAAAATTTTGAGAAGATTCTGCGATCATTTTTGCATTATACCATCCAAACATTATCCTATTCCTATTTGTTAATTACTGTTTACTAATCTTCTACCAAGTCGAAGGAAAGTAAGAATATTTTTAGTCTAAAAACTTTTATCTAGCAGACGATTGGTTGTACGTTGTTATTTCGGTCAGACGAAGGAACCGGTTATCTTTTGAAGAAGCTGAAACACTCGGTGTGAATCGTTGTCAGAGACACCTTTGAGACGGAAGCAATTTTCCGACGCCATCAGGCGTAACGTAAAACACTTCTTGGCGTAGTTCTGGAGGATTTTTTTCCCGTGGATTCATGGCATGAAATGAGGTTCGGCTGTTTCGTTTCTTCGGTGCTGCTTGCTTTAATCGCACAGCGGATCCAAAGGCATAGAGGAAAGTGGGATGTTCGATTAAGTGGGCTCGATTTTATCGTTCTACGATTATTCGAACTACTATTAGTCGGGATCTTCATTAGCCGATGTATCAGGAATGTACGGGGTACTTCGGAATTGCACTGGAGTTCGTTAATTAATTCGTTACCTGAGTTCGTTAAAGGGAACGAGTAAAACCGGGCTTTAACGCCGGGCGTGTTCCAATCTAAAGCTTTCTTATCTCCCATTCTTCCGCTATTGGCAAATTTTCTGATGTCATATTATTTTTATAAAGGATTAAATGGCAAATTGAACCACATTGATTATCGAATAATAATTTATTTTCTCAGAGATTCGTAGCTTTTTACAAACAAATTTTATCCCTGTTGCTAAAAGAATCCCTCTATGTAAGGAACAACATATTTAAAAAATTTATGGTGTTACGTATAATTTATACATATAGTTCGAAATCCACCATTCTGTAAATTATTTCTATACAACACAGCGTTGAAAAAGTTTCGAAAAAGCTCGAGATATTGTAAATCATCGTAAAGAATGTCTTTAGAGTTTTACCTTCGTGTTCCAACAGGCGTCAGTCGTAAACGTTAACGTTTCTGACGAAGCCCAGCTATAGTTAAATCTTTTTTCATTGTATCGAGTGCACGACGACAATCGACTGTATCGATCCCCTTTTACGGTTCGATGGTGTACGCCAGGTGGTTGGCGAGGAAATCGCGCGTCAGAATAGGAACTTGACGAGTGCAAGTGTGAGCGCACTTGCACGAGTAATTATCGAGCGACGCATACAGAGCGTGCCCGGTCTCTGGAGGATTAATTAACTCGTTCTGCTCGCTGGACACCGGCTCATTACGTGGATCGACGAGCCACGCTTCGTTGGTGTTTCACGAATCGCCTCTCCATGCGTGTACATGTTCAATTTTCTCGAATTTACCTTCTAATCCTCGAGACTCGTCCATCTCACTCTGAAAACTCCAAATTACCATTCCGAAACGATGTACATGTTTAGATACCGCCCTGGTTTCTCATTCGACCCGTTAACAGGATCATTTTTCACGTATATTTCAGCGTAACCTTTTCTCCTCTCTCGCTTTTTCTCCCTCTGACGCTTCACAGTTTCATCGAGCAGGCACATAAATTTCAATTTTAAACAGCCTGACGTCTTGCGTGTCCGCAGGAAGGATGATCTGGCGTTGCCCAGGTAGCCACTGAACACGTTGCAAGAGAGTAAAAAAAGGTAAAAGAAGAAAAGAGAGAAAAATAGAAGGAAAAGAAAAAGCGGAAAGGGAGAGACGAGAGTAGGCCGCGATTACGGTATCTGGCTTGATTAAAAGGCCATCCCGTAGAGGCGATATTGATTTTGGTCGATGCTTTTAAAGCGGCTACGGGGGTCCACGAATTAATGTAAAAGCGCGCGCTACCAGGGATAGACACGTTGGATTTTTCATGAAAATTAGCCGGCCGCCGATGTCATTTTACCTCCCACGTGAGAATTCAATTTCTGGAATCCGCCGCGCGATATGATTTACCCGAACGACGGACGTTCGATGCACCGCGCGATCCGATCTCCATGATTCATTTTTAATTTGATCCGCGTTAAGCCGCTCCAGATGAATGTACTGGCTGCGATGCTTGAAAATTTCGCACATAACCATGACGATAATAAACGTCGGTACGGGGAATATTCGTCGTGTGTAGAGAGGAATGTAGAGGGTTGTAGTTTGCACTTTATTCAAATTTCACGAAGAAATTCGATATAATATACTTGAAAGCACATTGACGAGAATAAGAATAGGAGAATTATCGTAGATTTCAGAAATTTTTATGAAATATATCCCAAGAGAACAACCCATATATGCACCCGAGGTACGTGTTGGTTGGTTTATTAAAGAGACAAGTGAGGAATTCGTAATTGTCAGTTATATTAAAATCATTTTAAGTACAAGTACAGAGATAGTGTATGTCGGTCGTAATCGTCGCTCGCTCAATGCTTCTGTTCAACTCTATGCTCACTATTCGACTGTATGATTCGTTATAATGATTCTTCTAGAGAGCACGTTCGTCTATTTGTATCGACCGGTGTTATTACGAAAAGTTCAAATGTGACTCCGGTTGACGATTACAAATAACGGCGATAATATTTTTCCGGAGTTTGTTTACCTTTGAACCTAGCAAATTAAAACAACGTTGGCTGAGTCTCTTCCAATTTTCCATTGATTCATGTGCCGCTACAAACTCTTTTAAAAAGAACTTTGATCTGGTTTCCACGTTTCAATCAAAAGCTAGAGTTTCGTTGTGTCTAACGCTGGACCGACTATGTTCAAGTTTTGAATCGAACTTGAAACACGCGAGCGTAGAAATTCGCTCTCAGTTGCATCGCTTTTTCACGCTTCAC